CCGTGGCCCCTAAACACCTGGGAACTGATCCCCACGAGACCCCCTAGGTGTCCCGGCCGAGAGCGCATAGCCCACCACCAGCAAGGTGTGGAGGCCCCCGGCCCAGGCTCTCCCCGGGGGTGTCAGTAGAGCACCTTCCCTCCCTCCGCGCAGGTCTGGGTGCTAGAGCTCCTGCCGCCCGCACATGCGCAGACGTGCCGGCCTCAGGACAGCGGCTGGTCATTCCCTCATCCTCCCCACGCACCAGGCACAGGCCCCCTGCCCTCCCGCTTCTGGAGAGAGGGCAGCCTCTCAGCCGAGCCCAGACCAGCCTCCCTGCCCGCAGGACGGGCCCAGGGCCAACTCACCGCAGGACACCATCCACACTGACCGAGCCCCTGGATGTGGCCAGGCAGACCTGAGTTCGGGGAGAAGACCCCTTAGGCTTGGGCACGGGGCTGCCCTCCAAGCCCGTCCCAGCCCCTACAGCCCCTGGACCCTTGCGTGTACTGGGTCCCAGTCCATCTACTCCTCCTTGGAGCCCACCTCGGACATGCCCTCCTCCAGGAAACCCTCCCCTACCCCTCACCAGCCCTGAGGACCTAAGCGTGTTCCAGACACAAAACATGCCACACTGAGCAGAACAATGGGACAGACAGCCACGAACCGGGTCACTTGGGCCAAAATAGACACACTGCTCCTGATTTAGTCTGATGAGCGTCTACAGGGACCACGCTAACCCGACAACTGCCCACGCTCTTGTCCGCGAGGTAAATATAGCTCCGGGGCCATTCGCCACTTCCTGGTCTTGGGGGAAGACAGTTTCTTCAAATTACACCCTTGAGGACCCTGAGTCCCAGATCTGTGCAGACGCGGCCGGAGCACCTGGCCCCGGCTCAAGGCCACTTTGCCGCAGACGAGCTCTCAAGCCATCATCACGTGACTGTACGTCAGCGTTTTCTCCTCTTGGGGACAGAACGCTGGCTCATTTAAACGTGGGGGGGTGTTGATGGACCTCAGGAGGCCCGACACCTGTCAAGTCGTCCAGGACGTTTCTCTCGGGGAGAACAGGTTTGCCAATGGCTGTTCGCTTTCCTTGACTACTTGGCCCCAGAAGGATGCTCCCTGGCCAGCCCTGAGTGCCCCCAGCTCCCCGGCCTCAGGGCAGACGCCGGCAGAGCCACCTCCCAGGGATCACGTCTTCTGAGTCTGCAGGAACCCAGGCGCCCCGTCAGTCCACAGAGAACTCAGGCCCTAAGAGCAGACACTCCAGGGGCCCCGCCCGGTCCCACGAGGGCTGCGTCGAGAGAGGGAGAAAAAGAGGTGGGCCCTGAGCAGAGCCCTCCAATGTCCACTCCAGGGGCCCAGAGGCCGGGCGTCCGCGCAGACGCTGCCATCTCACCTGTCCCTTCCTCTGTGGCCCACGCCACCCACCTGCCCTCAGAGGAACAGCTCGAAGCCGGGAGTCTGCGTGAAGTCAGGGTTTGGGGCCTCTGGCCTTGCTGAGACGTGACAGGCAGGACAGCTGATGTGGCAGCACCTGAGTCCCACTGTTCACCACCCACAGCCGGGCCGCAGACAGCCCCCGCCCCCATGCCCGCAGCTTGCAGCCCACCTGCCAGCCCCTCCCAGCGGCCGTGCCCGGCCTGCCCGCACTGCCCCCCGTGGTCCCTCGTCACCACGACGTGACACCTCCGCGTCAACCCCCCCTTCCCCTCCCTCCAGCAGTAGGTGCCCCGAGGTCTGTGCCGGCTCCCATGTGGCCTGTGGCCCCCAGAGAGGTGGGCTCTGTGTCCGGCCAGACAGGCCAGGGGAGGAGAGAGGGCCCTCAGCAGGGCTCCGCGGCAAAGCCAGGAGCCCGCGGGCAGGGCAGGGGCCCCGGTACGGGCCAGGCCGCAGACACGGGGCAGGCAGGTGCCTACAGAGTCACGGGCAGGGCTCGCCTGGGACTCACGGCCATCCGAGTGTGAACTGGCTCTCCCTGACCCCGCGCCGTCCCCGTCTGTCCCGCAGCACCGGCACGTAGCCGGCTTGCCCGCGGCCCAGCCCCGGCTCGTGGTGCCCAGGTCGTGCCGACAAGCAGGATGGACGGGGCAGAGGCCGCCAGAAGAGCGGAGACCAGACGACTGAGGGAGCGAGAGGCGTGTGTACCCCGGACAAGCCCCGTCAGCCCTCCCCGGAGCGCTCAGCGCTCAAGGGCGCTGGAGCGGGGGGTGAACACGTCAGGGCCAGACGGGTGGGGGTCAGAGGCGTGGGGGGCGTGCACCTGTCCACGGCCCTGCAGGTCCCAGACTGGGCTCCTCCTAAGAGCCCCAGAGTGGACAAGGCTGGGCAGACACAGGCATGCGTCTGGGGGGCTGTGGGCGCCCTGTCCGTCTGTCTGTGTGATGTGGGATTCCTGAGTCCTGCAGCTGCTATCCCCACCAGGCAGTCACCTGGAAACCTCTGCCCCAACAAAGGGCTTGCCTGAGATGCAGGGCCAGGCAGATGGCCCAGCTTAATTAGGCCACACGGGGTCTCGTCCCCAGCGCAGCAAGCAAGGCCTGCCCGGGGCTCCCTCCAGGCCCGTCTCTCCCCTCATTTCCGCTGTGAGCCTTTCTCTGAGCGCCTAAGCGCGCGCGCGTGTGTGTGGATGTCTCTGCTTCTGGCCCTGACTCTATGTCTCAGTTTGTTTCTAATACATCCCTATCTCTGTGTGCCTCTCTGTCTGCCTGTCTCTCTGTTTGTCGCTGTCTGTCTGTCTATGTCTATGTCTGTCACTGTCTGTCTCCCTGTGTCTGTCTCTCTGTCTCTCTGTCTGTCTCTCTCTGTCTCCGTCTCTGTTTCTCCCTGTCTGTCCCTTTATGTCTCTCTGTCTGTGTCAATCTGTCTCTGTCTACATCTCTTTGTCTGGCCCTCTTGTCTGCCTCGCTGTCCTGCACTTACGCTTCCTGACCTGATTCTCTGGGTTCCCCAGAGTCTCCGTCTCGGCCGCCCCGTCTTCCCCATGATGTTTTCCCCGCTGTCCTGTTCTGAGCCTCTAAGCCCCCAGCCGCCTTCCCTGCCTGATCCCCGCAGCCTGGCTCCCACTGCCCCGCTCCTGCATCCATCTCCCTCCAGTCCCGCTTCCCCACGTCTCTGTGTCTCCCTTCGTCTTTTTCTCGGTCTGTCTCTGGCCGTATCCCCCCTGAGTTAGCCTGTCTCTGGACGGTGTCCGGGGTTCGTCCCGCCTCCGTGTCCGGGGCTCTGGCCTCTCTTGGAATCATCTCCTGGTCTCCGTCTGTCTGTCTCTCACCCACACTCATCCCAAGAGACCAAAATGCCGCCCGCCAGGGGGAGAGAAAACACGGCAACAGAAAGCAAGGCCTCACCTGGAGCAGCCCCTGCCCCCAGCAGCACCGGGGTGCGAACGGGGTGGGAGTTTGGGGGACGCCGGGTCTGGGGCCCCAGGGAGTAGCTGCTGCCCGAGGGGCCTCCGCTGGCAGCGCCCAGGCTCCCACATCGCTGGTGAAGCCGCCCCGTCACTGCCGCAGGAGAAACTTTGGGCTGACACGGAACACAGGGAATCCAGGCTGGCAATTACCCAACTAATTTCAGCCATGCAGACAGCGAAATCAGATATTTCCGTTTTCTTGCAAGCCCACCTCGGGGCCTGAATTAGCCACCTGATTAATTATCTGTAACAGCCTGGGACCGGCTGGGTGGAACTTGGGTCCCTCCTGGTGCCAGGATGCTGCTTTTGTCCCTGAATCACGTTCCAGTGACGTAACCATTATGATTAGACTCAACCTGCAGCCTGTCCTCGACCATGAAGAGTCTCAGGAAATGTGGCCCCAGGCCAGGCCCAGACGTCTTTCCATTTAATTTGTGTTGAGTGGAAATGCAGTCACTCTCCAGGAGACAAGCCCACCCGTGGGGTTCCTGTCCTGGGCACGGTGGCACTGGCCCCTCTATCTTGCCCCTCGTTCCTAGCACCAGAACCCCCATGGTGCCCCACCTCTGGTGAAAAGCTCTCCATCACTCCTGCCAAGAGGTGGCCCTGTCATGCATCACCTGACACGTGCCCGGCTATGAAAGGCGTCAGGTCAGGGTGTGACCCACAGAGGCCACGTATGGCCCCAGGGTGGTCCTGTCGCACGAGGAAGACACCTCTGATGGCAGAATCAGGCAGCGGCCGCCGGCTCCCATCACAGGGAGATCCCAGAGCTGGCGCTGCACCAGGGGAGCCAGGGCGCACAGGGCCGGCCCCGTGGGCCAGGCTGACCAGGATGCAACTGTGCCAGCGCGGACCTCGATCCACTCCCCCGCCCACCTCCTGGGCCAGGGTCTCAGCTCACTGTCCTACATCATCTTCCTCTCCTGGGCCAGGCTCTCCGGCTGCGGTCATGGCCTTGACCCAAGGAGGCACAGGATTCCTTTCAAAAGCAGCAGCAGGGTTGGAAGGGGGGGTCCCCTCCCCCAACACACAAAGAGGCTGCACTGCCTTCACGGGGGTGGGGAGGTGGGGACGCAGGTGGGTACACACAAGCTACCCGGGGCCTCTTCTCTTATCCCTGCGCACGCTGGGGGCCCCGCCCTCGTGACACTGCAAAGTCCTTGCAGGATGCCACAGGTCCAGCTCTGCTCCTTACCCCCACTCTACCTGCCGTGGCCACTCTGCGGCCTCCTGCACCCCTGCGCATCAGAAGCAAAGTCCCCGTGGGGGGCCACAGGATCTGACCAGTGGGATTGCCCCCTGGGGTGTCCTCCCAAGGCCGACAGAGGTACTGCTGCTCAGGGCCACCTGGGGGGCTCCTCCCGGACACAGTGCACTGGCATGCGTCCTCCCCCACCCCCAAAGCTGGCCAAGGGGATTCAGGATGCACTGCCTTTGGCCCCTCCCAGTTCGTCCCGCCGCCCCAGCCCCCATCCCCGGTCCAGAGGGAGCCTGCAGGTGTGATTGCGGGGACCGTGTGGTGAAGTCCGACGGTGACCACGTGCTGCGTGAGACCCCGTGTGTCTGCGTGTGCTGCTGGGTGTGCGGGGTGCCCCCCTCTCCCTACCTCCCAGGGCCTGTTTCATCACGAACTCCATGGTGATGGCGTTGAGTTCTCAGCGGCTCCTCGGAGGGTCACAGCTCACATGCGAATGTGGCCAGGAGTTCTCTGCTTGGGGAGAGGAAATGGTCACAGGCCACCAACGGGGCCGGGGGAGGCCTCCATCTTGTCCCCTCCCAACTTCGCCTAGAAGCGGGTCTGGGGTGTGAGAGGGCATCATCCGTGGTCCCCCCAGCACCTGGGGGCTGGACCTCAACATGGGACAGGCACCAGGGTCTGGGAAGGTCCCTGCAAAGTGGTCTCCCTGGGGCCCTGGGGTTTGTGAGGCTGGCGTCCGGCTGCTACCGCAGGGGTGGGAGCGTGCAGCTCCGAGGAGCCTGCCTTTGAGAAGCGGGCGCAGGCCCAGGGACGTTTGGAGGTGACTGGCTCTGCTGCCTCCTTGGTGGAGCCCTGGGCCACGGGCGCGGAGACCCATCTAAAGGATGGGAAAGGTCAGTGTGGGTGGGACCTGGGTGGGAGCTCCCTTTGGCTTCGGATGGAAGTCTTGGGAGACCAGGTTTCATCCAGGGGAGAGGCCAGCACCCACTGCCCCCTGCACACAGCAGAGACTGGGGTGGAAGGGAGAAATTGCAGGGGCCCCAGCCTTCGGGGAACAAATGAAATGGGGGGCAGACCACCCCTCCACCTGCATCTGCATGGGTGGGGACCTCCAGGGTCCAGGCCAGCTGCAAGTCTGGTGAGGAGGTGCTTCCTGCAAAATCAGCAGCTGCAGTGCCCCCACCCCCCATCTGGTGAGGTCTCTCCTGGCAAGGAAACCCAGGTCCCTGGAGATCCACTGTCTTATGGGTTTTTTTTTTTTTCCTTTTCAGATGAAGGGTCCCCGTGTGCGTGCAGGCTGGGGAGGGATGGGGGGGGGGCGGGCGTCCCCCTGCCTCCCCGCAAAGCGCTGGCGCGCAGGGGCGCCTTTGCCGCAAAGCAGATTCTCTTCCAAACTTCTCCCCTGCCTCCTGGTGGGGAGGGAGTCTCAGGGCCCAGCCCCGAGAGGCCGGGGCGCTGCTGGAGCTCCCCCAGTGCTCCCACCGCCCCCACCGCACGGCTCAGGGCTCCCGCGGCCGCCGCACCCCTTGGCTTTGCGGGCGAGCGAGTTGCCCGGCTCTGCCAAGCGGCCCTCGGGCGGGAGCGCGCCAGGAGAAAGAAAGAAAAAGACAGAGGACGAGGGAGGGGAAGGGGAGACGCGAGAGGCAGGAGACTCGGAGAAGGAGTAAGAACGAGGGAGGGCGCGGGCCGGGACCCCTGGGCCGCTTCAGCACCGCGCCGGCGGACAGCGCCCGCCGGGGGCCGACTGAGCGCCCAGCCCGGGCCGGGAAGGGGGCACCTGGGGCCGAGTGCCCGCCCTGCGGGTCCTGGGAAGGAGCTGCGCGCGGGGGCGCCGGTTACCTTCCTGGGGCTGGGGCCGGGGCGCGGGCGGGCGGTCAGCGGCAGAGCGCGCTCGGGCCGGCCGGGTCCATGTGGCGCCCCTGGAACTGCGGCTGAAGCTGAAGGGCACCGCGAGGAGGGCGCATCACATGGAGGCGCTCCCCGCCCCCCGCCCGCGTCCGAGCGTGACGAGGTGGGCGGGGCCGCGGCGGCTGGGCGGGCGCCCGCGGGAGGCGGGGACCGGAGGGGCGGAGCCGCGCCCCCTTTGCCCCCCCACAGCGCTGCCCGCGGGCCGGACTCGGGGGGGGGGGGGGGGGC